CCAGTTGGAGAGGCTAAGCCAGAACTTCTCTGCCGTTTATACCCAGCGTTGAATTGAACCCAGCTCTGGACCTCAGGGTGCTCCTCCGTGAAATGTGTCCAAGTCAGGTTCCCTTGGACACTTTCGTGGGTCCTGATGGTGAATGAGCCCAGCTTCTTGCACCTGAGGTTGGCAGCCTGTATGGGCCACCGAGACCCTAAGCGATGATTCAGAATTTGGACTTGGGGGTGACCTGGTGGTGTCCTGGGGCAAGGCAGCCGATACAGGTTGGGTGTGAGGCCTGGGGGTACTTGGACCTGCATCAGTTTGGAAAGTGGCATTCTTGCTGGGCCACAGAGCCCTGGTTTGGGCTCATGAATCCCCCTGGGTGGGGATGGAAGAGGGTCCCCTGCACCAAGCACAGAGATCTGTCTATACAAGTTGCTCAATTGGCTCTCCACATTTTCTCCTCCCTCCACACTTCTCCTCTCTCCTGCTGCATGCTGGGGTCTTAAGTAACCACCCCAGGGGGGGAACGCTGACCTGGACTCTGGCATGAACCTTATGGGGGAGGGGTGCCCCAGGGCATGGGCCCCGCTTTATCCTGAAGCCATGGCAGAGTCTTCGATGTGTCCTGCCAAGCCCAAAGAGAACCCGCCTGGCCCTCATAACCTTGAGCTCTGCTAGGCCTTTACCTGGGAAAGCCCTGCCCACCGCTCCTGCCTCCCTGGAACCATCTCTTCCTCAGGAGGCTGCCCTTGGCGAGGGTTGACCCTATGCTGTTTGTTCTTGCTGTACACACCCCACCTTCATTCTGCATCTTGTAAAGAAAGAACTGTGTCTTCCCTGTTCCCTGGCCGTTCTTCTTCTGGAGGAACAGGGCCCGGCTCGGCCTGTTGAGTGCTGTGTGCCCAGGGCCTTGCCCAGAGTGGTGATCGATGAGTGTGCTGCCTGCACAGATGAGTGATGAAGGGATGACTGGTGGTGCATAAATCAACAAGGGCACCTGGGCCCTTTCCCCCTGTGCCTCTGACATTATACTCAACACGGTTTGGGGGGATGTTGAGTTCAGTGAATGAGTCAGATTGCCTGGCTTGGAGATAGAACCACAGGGTGGACACCAGGAGGCAGAATCTTCACCAGTGATCATTTGAGGGGCGGGGGGAGAAGGGCAGTATGAAATGCTGGCGGCACAAAATCATAACTGAAGAAGCTCCCATTCCTTGGATCTGACAAGAAAGCAGCATTTTCATGAATGTGGACTTGGGGGCTATTTCGACTCCCATGGGCACTCTCTCTTCTCCCCCCACCTCTCTGATTGCAACAGGCTGGGGGGAGACTTGAGTTAGCTTCCCATTGAAGGGGTGCTGGCAATCCCCAGGGTAGGGTGGCTTGGAGTATTTTAAGGATGGGCCAGGACTGGCTATTGGGTTCTGATCCACAGTGACTCCAGTGTACCGCGGGGTGATATTTACTACACGTACCTCTTCCCAGACAGTGGGCTGGCCAGTATGGGGGACAGTGGGCCCTGCAGTCTGCTGCCCTCTCCAGGCTCATCCCATCCAGACCAGGATTCTCCCCAGCACTAACTCCTCCTATCTGTCCCTCGAGCTCCCCCCAGGGTGATTTCTACCCCTGCCATAGAAAGGATATCATCACAAGGGTGTTTCTCTCTCTGCTTCCTTTGTTCCCTGGGTCCCTCCCTCCTCTCCCTTCCATTCCCTACCTTCTACCCACTGATCATCACCTTGTGACCCCTACGCAGCCAGCGTGGTGGGGGTGAGGGGTTAGGAGCACTGCCCCGACAGACTGCCAGCTTCTTGGTTATGTGACCTTGGACAAAGGACCTCATCTTCTGTTTCCCTCTCTTTAAAGGCGGCTCTCAATCCTTCTCTGGCTGCCAGCGACCCAGCTCTGGCCCAGGTGTCCCCCTGTGTGTCCCAAGAGAACTATGCTCCCTACAGTTTTCACTGGGTGGCTTTAAATTTATGTGTGTGTGTGTGTGTGTGTGTGTGTGTGTGTGTTGAACTTTTTGTTGTGGATCAGGTGCATTTAATTCGAATGCAGGCTTACAAAGCAGCTCGTCGGGTTGACAGTCTCTGTTCCACACACATTTCGTTTCAGCTCATCCACTGCAATCCCCTCGCTGTGTCATCACCAACCCACCCCCTCCCTGTGGTCCTTGATTCCGTCGCTCATTCCTGCCTGACCCTCGGTCCTTTGTCCTCGATCAATGCCGGCCCTCGGGCCTGCAAATGGTTGGTTATGCTACCGTGGAAGTGAGCTCAGCTGCAGACCCAAAACACAGTCTTGGGAGTTCTGCCAGTCTCCATCTGACCAGTGGGCCTGGTCTCTTTCATAATTTGGGGTTTTATTCCATATTTTCCTCCCACTTGATCCACCATTTAGTCCAATGAACAACCATCCGCCTCTGTGGTATACACAATCTCCTGTCCACTGGTGAAGGGGTGGGGTTTAGCCTGCCCATCAGGTCGCAACTTGATGCCCTCATTTGGAGGCGCAGCAGAGATAAATGGCTCACTGGAGGCTGGACCCTCTCACTCTCTGCTTCACACTCCTGATGACAAGCCACATGGAGCCACGCCGATGGCAGCCAGAGCCCTGGCGATGCTTCCAGCACCGCTGGATCCACAAGACTCTCCACCCACAGGCCTGTGATCTTCCTGCGCGCAGCATCATGGCATGTGCTGTGAGAGTCGAGAGAGGCTATGGACTCGGATTTCACTTATGAACTTGAGTTGGACTGGGCTGGATGTTTTCTCGATATACAATCGCTCTTTGATAGAGAGCTGTCTCCTACACATGTGTGTGTCTCTATGGATTTGTTTCTCTCATCCACTTGGACTAACTCAGCCTCTAAGACCCTGAGGCCAGAATACCTGGATGGTGCCCAACGACCACTGCCACCTGTCCTCCAGACAGAAAGGCATAAATAGTTGCCCCTTGATGGCTGTGCAGGGGGATTCAAAACCCTAGTCCCTCCTCACCGAAGGAGAGGGTAGGACATGGTCTTTGTGAACTACGTTGTGCCAGCCATAGTGTCAAGGGGTGTTCTTTAAATTCAGTAAGGTTTCCTCAAAAAAAGGTAAATATCATTACCATAGGACCAGCCAATCTCTTCCTAGCCATCTACCCAAGAAAAGTGAAATCACATGTCCACACAGAAACTTATACACAAATGTTCGTCGTAGCTTGACTCACAAAAGCCAAAAGGTGAAAACAGCACCGATGACCATCCGCGACGCGTGGTACACAAACGTAGTCTACGGACGCAGCCATCACGAGGAAGGAAGGACCGACACTTGCACAAATCTCACAGACACTAGACGGAGTCAGACATATGTCGTTAGGTCATGGCGGTTGCAGACATTCTGACTCTCAGCGACTCTAAGGCCAACAGGACAGAACGCTGCCTGGCCCGCGCCAGGCTCACGAGCGTGCTCAGATCTCAGCCCATTGTGGCAGCCACTGGGTCCATCCACCTTGTCTAGGGCCTGCCTCGCTCCTACTGCTCCTCTACCCCACCAAGCACGCTGTCCTTCTGCAGGGACTGAGCTAACCTGACAACACGGCCAACTCACACGAGACGAGCGAGCCTCCGCGGAACACTCTGGTTGCCCTTCTTCCGAGATGGATGTGCTTGACTGGCATCCGCCAGGAAAAAACCGATCCCAGAAGCAGCAACGCCCACATGGAAGCAGCACACCAGCCTGTGCGATCACGAGGTGTCAAAGGGATCAGGGATCAGGCATCCTCAGAACAAAAAATCACATCATTGTGAATGAGGGGGAGTAGAAAGAGGGGACCCAAAGCCCATCTGTAGGCAATTGGACATCCCCTTACAGAAGGGTCGCAGGAAGGAGACGAGCCAGTCAGGGTGCGATGTAGCAACGATGAAACATACAACTTTCCTCGAGTCCCTAAATGCTTACCCTCCACCCCACCCCCACTATCATGATCCCAATTCTACCTTCCAAATCTGGCTAGACCAGAGGATGCACACTGGTACAGACAGGAACTGGAAACACAGGGAATCCAGGGTGGATGACCCCTTCAGGACCAGTGGTGAGAGTGGCGATACCAGGAGGGTGGAAGGAAGGTGGGGTGGAAAGGGGAAACCAATTACAAGGATCTACATATAACCTCCTCCCTGGAGGACGGACAACAGAAAAGTGGGTGAAGGGAGATGTCAGACAGTGTAAGATATGACAAAATAATTTATAAATTATCAAGGGTTCATGAGGGAGGGGGGAGCAGGGAGGGAGGGGAAAAATGAGGACCTAATGCCGGAGGCTTAAGTGGAGAGGAAATGGTTTGAGAATGATGAGGGCAATGAATGTACAAATGCGCTTGACACAATTGCTGTATGTATGGATTGTGATGAGGGTTGTATGAACCCCCAATAAAATGATTTAAAAGTAAATAAATTTAATTTAAAAAAAAAAAAAAAGGAAAACCCCAATCCCACAACCACACAATGGAAGTTCAAAGAGATGAAGGGGTTTTTCCCAAAGCAACAGTCAGTCCATCTAAGCCTGTTCTGCAGAGCGTGGAGGTGACGGGGAAAGGGTCTAAGAACAATAGGGGACGGGGGCGACCATGAGGGGGAAGAGAGTCTTCGAAGCTAAGCCTGGCACCTGTGAAGCCTCTCTGTGCAGCAGGCTATAGCCTGAAGGGGGCGCTGTGGGTGGAACGGGGTGGGCAGGGAGTCGGCCAGGGCTGGGGAAGGACTGGCGCCAAGCTAGTAGTTTGTGTGACTGTGAGATGAAGAAGTGCCTCGTTTTCGCAGCCCCCAGGGAAATAAAGGTCAAAATACCAACGTCGTTCGGATTTTACCATTCATTGGATGGCCCAGCCATCAGGGAAGCTTCTAATACATTACAGCAATTTTAATTTTTGTTCCCAAACTGAGGCGCGGCCAAGAGATGGAGGCGAGCAGCTGGAAGAGCCTCCACAGTGGACTCATATTCTCACCTGACTGCTCTCCCCTCTGTCCACAGGTGGGCCCCCATCTGCACACGTTCCCCACGGAAGCTGACCGGGAGAGAGCGCTCAAGGCCCACCAGGAAGAGTGTGCTGTGCGCCAAGGCACCCTGCGAATGGGCAACTACACCCACCCTTAGCCCCCTTCCGCAAGAAGCCTTCTTGATGCAGTAGAAAATTCCCTGAGGGACTCACCTTTCTTGCCCCAATTCACGAAGGACACTCCCTCCCCGTGTTGTAAGACTTCTGCCTCTGCACAGACGGCAGATCCGGGTCTTAGATGAATTACTTTGGGTAGAGCCCACCCTTTTACAGTCAACCAACACCAGTCTCAAACTTTGGCCCAACGTTTCTCAAGCCCTCGCCTGACAAGACAAAGCCAATGACGGGGCAGGTTTTTTTGGACACCGGCTAAAGGGTTGGCTCCCCAGCTCCGCCCAAGCTGTGGATCCATCACAGCGATATGCTTTGAGAGCCCTGGTTTGATATTCCAAGCATGAGTCTTGATTGCTCTCCTGGGGATGCCTGGCGTCTCACCAAGGCGGTATTGCATGTCTGGGACCCCCAACAGTGGAAAGAGGCAACAGTGGGTGACTCAGGCCTGCCCCCGCCTCCCTGGTGCTACAGTGAGCAGGTGACCTGGAGAGAATACGTGGGCTGAAGAACTTCTCAGCCAGACTCCTGGGCATCTCTTAACTCAATCTTTCTGCGTGTCCCTTGGCTTCTCCTCACCATTTCTATGCTAATCTATTTTTAATTAAAAGATGCTATTTGTCATTCTCCTCTTGTGTCTTTATTTGAAAACCAGCCATCCAATAAAACCAGGGAGGGAACGGAGAGGATGATGTTACCGCACAGCCTCTGCAAAGTGTTCAAACCGCTTCCAAGCTCCAAGTTCAGTGCCTTCACTGAGTCGGCTCGATGCGCCAAGTTTTCTTTCCTTTTCTTTTTTAAATCATTTTATTAGGGGCTCATACAACTCTTATCACAATCCATACACACATCAATTGGGTAAAGCGCATTTGTACATTCATTGACCTCATCATTCTCAAAACATTTCCTTTCCACTTAAGCCCCTGGCATTAGGTCCTCATTTTTCCCCTCCCTTCCCGTTCCCCCCTCCCTATGAGCCCTTGATAATTTATAAATTGTTATTTTGTCATATCTTGCCCTGTCTGACGTCTCCTTTCACCCACTCTTCTGTTGTCTGTCCCCCAGGGAGGAGGTCACATATAGTTCCTTGTAATTGGTTCCCTCTTTCCTACCCACCCTCGCTCTACCCTCCCTGTATCGCCACTCACACCACTGGTCCTGTAGGGCTCATCTGCCCTGGATTCCCTGTATTTTCAGTTCCTATCTGTACCAGTGTACCTCCTCTGGTCCAGCCAGACCTGCAAGGCAGAATTCGTGTCATGATAGTGGGAGCGGGGAGGAAACATTTAGGAACTAGAGGAAAGTTGTATTTCTCATCGTTGTTACATCGCACCCTGACTGGCTCGTCTCCTCCCCGAGACCCCTCTACAAGGGGATCTCCAGTGGCCCACCAATGGGCCCCGGATCTCCACTCCGCACTCCCCCCATCATTCACTATGGTAGGATTTTTTGTTCTGATGATGCCTGATCCCTGATCCCTTCGACGATGCTCCAGGTTTTCTATACTGCTCCAACTCCGTGGCTCTGACTCTGACCTTGATGCAGTTGATTTTCTGCCCTGAGAATGCCACCCCTGAAAGTGCTCTCCCCGCCTGATCGGTTGATAGCACCACGAGGATGATCTGATCATCACCTCACAGCCAAAATGAGGCTTGATGACTCTCCTCCCACAAATGCTTCTGCCTCGTTTCCCCCAGCTCATAAATGAGACCACCATCAACGCAGCTGCTGAAGCACAATCCCTTCTTGACTTGCTTTCCTTCAACCATCACATCAGCAAACCTGTAGGCTTTACCTCCAGTCCATCGACTTCTCTCCACTCCCACCACCGGAAAACCAAGCCCCGCCCTCCCAGCCCAATTCTCCTGGATAAATGCAGGACATTCTTAATCCATCTCCTGGCGTCTCTCTTCTTTCCCTCATGACCCATTCTCCACAGGCATGGGGGATGCTTAACACACCAGTGATTTGCTGGCTCTTAAAGTCAAATCAACCTTCTCAGTAGGCCCAGTATGACCCTAGGATTAGCCAAGGCCCATCCCACAGGTTTCCTCTCAAATCCCTTGGCCTTTCCTCGCTCCCCTCTTGACACAGCAGTCTCTGCCATGGGCCTGGTTCTTCTTTTTCCCTGGACCTGGGACACTTGGGCACCACTCAGTCACATGTCTGTTCTTTTGTTCCTTTAATTTGGATCTTACTAATTGAATCCAACAATGTTTGAAATAATTATACACCAAGTGGGATTGGTCCAAGCTATGCCAAGCTGGTTCAGCATTCACAGACCAACCAGTGTCATCCACCTTATCAACAGGCGAAAAAAGAAATCTCAATCGATCGTGTAACAGATTCAGAAAAACTCTTGGCAAAGCCCAACACATGTTCACGATAAAGCCTCGCAGCAAAGGGGCTGGGAACTTCCTCACCTTGATAAAGGGCATCTACCCACAAATCTCCGCTGAAGTAATGCCAGGACCACCTGCCATCCTGTTGATGTGGACTCACGGGGACCTCATGTGTATCAACTCAGAACTGTTCCATAGGGTGTCCGATGGCAGACGTTCCCAGAGTAGATTGCCAGGCCTTTCCTCTGAGGACCTTCCAGCGGGCCCCAGTCACCAGCCTTTTGGTTAGCGGTCCAGTGTGCTCGTTGTAAATGCACATCACCTCATCTTATGCTCTGCATATTCATGACCGCCAGCATGGAGGACTGCTTCTTGGAGTCAGAGATCCAAGAGGTCTCATTCACCATCACATCTCAAGAGATAAGCCCAAGGGTTGGACCCGTCATCCTATTATATATCTGAGTGAGTTTCTTTGTCATCCGTCATCCTCTGTCCTATCTCTACACTGCAGCCCACCAGAAGCCAATTCCATAGGAATACCACGCACTGAGCCCCTCCTGAAGCTGGCTCAACCAGGGTCTTAACAGGACCCTACTCTTGAAAAGACCCCTCCCTCTACATGGATCAAAAAGAAGCAACGTCCCCGCCAATATTGGTTTATACCCGCCTGAAGCCTTGGGCCAATACAGTCCCAAGTAGTGTTTAAAAGCATGCAGTCTTGTCCCTGCTGTGTGGCCTTCAGCAATTTCCTAGCCTCTCCGTGCCTCATCTCTATGGGAAGGACATACACATCACAGAAGTTTCCCTCAAACGAAATGAAATACTGATGATCTTAAAGACTGTATAAGAAGATGAGCACGGGGTCCAGCACTCCAGAAATTGAGACATCTGAATTATTATTTTTCATTATGGGTAAAGCCACGGAAGTGGGGAGGTCCTGCACCACAGAATATAATTGAGGGAATAAAATAATGGAAGTGGGATGAAATGAATGAATGCCTTTTTAAAAAGCGTGTTATTGATCTCATACATTTCAATAGTATTAAGCAGAATTGTGCCATCATCACCACCATCGATTTCAGAACATTTGCTTCTTTCTCATACTCCCTGTTGTTATCGCCCCACTCTCCCTCAACCTCCCCCGCCACGCCCCGAGGCAATGGTTAATCCAGTTACTGTCTAGCTTTACCTATTCTGGATTCCATATAAACATATACCGGTATGTCTCAGAGAAACATACAAAAGAACCCAGAACAGTCCCATGACTAAGCAAACAGAGAAAAATCCTTTATGGAAAAGAAAGCAGAAACCCTTGTAAACTGGAACAAATGGGAAATGGCTCCAAAGGGGTGATCAAATGGTGACTTTGAATGGAGGCAGAAGTCTTTGTCCTGGGCTGTGGGAAGCAGACGAAGAGCATTCTCAGGAGGCAGAAGAATGCCCTGGAGGAAGGAAGATGAGGCTCCATCCAGCACAGGCAGGGGCCAGCTCTGCTATGGCAAAGAGGGGCCCACAGGTAATGACACCTGCTTTTCCAATGCCTGGGCTAAAGAAGAAGGCGTAGCTCCGTCAGAAAAGGCTAAGGGGAAGGTCCTGTTGTTGATCTAATCATGCCTTGCCCCCCAAATGGTCTCACTGGAGGTGGAAGACAGAAGGACCCGGTAATTTCCTCCATAACCCAGCCAGCACCTCACGTAAGTACTCTTGCCCCGTCCTGCAGGGAGCTAGCCTGAATAGTTCTCCGCTTCTTGTCCTAGAGTGCCACCCGGTGGTGAGTCGGCGGCCCTGGAAGTTCCTGGCCCCGTCCTTCCCACCAGCCCGCCCTCCCCCAGGTGGCTTCTTCCTCCCTCATTAATGACTGGTGCCTGCACAAAACCCAGGTCTGATGCCACCTTCTTGCCTATCCTGTCACATCAGTGGAGCCTGCCCTCACTCACATTGGCCCAGGCTGGGCCCAGCATGAGCAGAGGCCCTCTCCCTGCCCTTCACGATCCGGTTATACTCCCTGAAAGTTCCAACTTGTAGAGCCCTGAGACTCCTTTTGCTGACCTACTCCCATGACCACACACAACCGCCCTGACTGCACAGTTGGGAAATAGATGTCAAAGGGGCCTGAGTTCCCTCCGTTAAGCCAGGCCCTGCGCAGGCCAGACCCAGGGCTCTTGGCTTCTTCCCTTCATTGCACAGTCTAGAGTCTGGGCCAGAAGCGACTTCTCAGTTCAAGTATGAGTGGAAGCAGGGGAGCTTAGCTTTACGTCCCAACTCCTCATCACCTGGAGAAATGCCATGGGATACCGGGTCGACATGAATGGCCCATAGCCACACACACCCTCCAGGGGGAAGAACACCAGGAACCAGAGGGGAAGGGAGTCATCGGTCGGTGTGAGATTTGAAAATAATGAACGATCTATCATCTATCAAGGGACCATAAGAGTTAGTTTTGGGGGAGGCAGGGAGGGAAAAAGAGAAAAGGAGGAACTGATCCCAAGGGCTCAATGGAAAGTAAATGTCTAGAAAAGAACGATGGAATATATGTACTGATATGTCGGATACAATTGATGTATGGTTTGTAACAAGAGTTGTAAGAGCTCCCAATAAAATGATCTTTTTAAAAAATTCCATATGAAAATGCTTGCCAGCTAGCGGGTCCAGACCCTCTCCCAGTTTGACGGAACTCCTCTCCGGTCCTCTGAGAAGGCAGGGGGCAGTGAGGGGCTGATTTGCACTGACAGGTCTGGGGTACAAGGACGTTGAGAGGCAGTTTTTGGAAACAGGACTCACAAAATTGGAAGAGGCTGGAGAGACCATCTGGTCCCACCAGGAGAAGGGAGAGGAGGGGAGAGTTACTTAGCAGCACAAAGGAGGTCTAGGCTAGATCTGGAGAGTACAGTAAGTAAATTTTCTTTCCATGGCTGGACCCCAGAGTTCAGCCTGTCTCCAGTTTTTAACTGGAGCTCAGACTCCATGCTCATTCTCTTTCTCTCTCTCCCGACTGCGCGCTCTCCGTGATATGACCAAATAATTAATCACATTCTTGGATAGAAGAAGAGAGAGGAGGTTCTGGAGTCTGACTGTTGTAAAGATATTGTTTACCAGGAATGGTGTTCATTGAGCTGACAGATCCCATTCCAGTCCCAGGGGAGACTCTGGATCTGCATACAAATGGTTTTGCTTTTGGGACCCACCCCTCCTTGGGCCTCTACTGG